ATAAACATTGCTAAAAGTAGGAGAATGACAGCCAAAGCATGGAATATTCAATCTTGCAAGATGCAGAGTATTCGCATCCTTCAATGAAGAACTGAAGCACGTACCTAAATGTACACATGTAGCCCCACTGAAATCTTAAAGCATTAATATTCCAGAACTGTACTTTTGTCATGGCATTTTGGACAGCCTGGCAAGTGAGGGAGGAAACCACACCCAAATCTAAGGTTACAATAATCAAGATGAGAGACAATTAATGGAAATGATCTTCACAGCCAGGAGAGGGAGCAGAGAGGAGAGTCTATAATTACTTAAGAGAAAACACAATACAAAATCTGTAAGAGAATGAGTAGTGGTTCTGAATGGAAGAGAACACAGACAAGACTGTGGTCCTGGAGACAGAAAAGGTATCAGATAAAAGACAAGGTGGGAAAGAGAAATTCAGCCTTGGAATCAATGAATCTGAGACAGTGGCTTAATATCCCAGAGATGTCAGGGATGCAGTTTAAGATGTAATATTAAGTTAAAGGCTGAGGAGGAAAGAGGTAGGTCTTTGGGTATCCAAATTAAAGCAGCATATCAAAACCATCAAATCAACCGTGAAAACTGATGGGAGTGACTGAGGCAGTGAAACAGTCTGTCCAAAATTGATGAACAAAGGGAAAAAGCTAGAGACACACCTAAGAAATGCTGGAAATAGGGATAAGGAGAAAACAAAGAGTAGGTGCAGAATCAGTGGAAGGATGGTATTTTGTCAAAGATAAGGGAAATAAAAATAAGCTTGTATGTGGAGGAAAAGAAAGAAGGAAGAGAACAGTTAATAGATAAAGGAAAGAAGTCAGTTAAGGGGGGAACAATTACACCAAAAGAGAGAGACTGGATATTAGCATTAGTGGCTGCAGAGTTAGAAGCCAAAACAGAGGAAGTTAAAAAAATAACGAGAGGAAATGATAGAAGAAAGATTTTGCCCAGTAATGTCAAGTTTGTTTTTGAAGATGGTGGCTAGATTATGAACATATGGTGGAAAGGAAGAAGGTTTAAGGAAAGAACTGACTATAGAAAAGAGCAGGAAGGCACTGGTGAAAGTCAATTAGTATCATTAATATAAGTTAACAATGCTGTTCAGAAAAGAATGAGGCAAAGCTGAGCAATGAAAGAATGAACTTGCAATGGGCTAAGTTGCATGATCCCAGGATGTTCTCCAGAGATGCTTAGAAGTGCAGAAGTACATATAATATACAAGAAGCGAAATCTGGAGGAGCAGATGGGAAGAGTGAATGGCTTGAGAGGGAACCAAAGTAGCCCTGTATGGAGGACAGTATAGAAAGGAAAGAGAGACCCCCTAAGTCTAAAGGGAGTGAGACCAGGGAGGGAAGGAGGCAGCTGAGAGCAGTAGAGAAGTCAGAAAGGTTAACAGACTGGAGATCACAAAAGGAGTGTGAGTGACAGGGTAGGGGAGAGAGAAAGACAGAGATGCTGAAAGAAAGTAGGTAGTGATCAGAGAGAGAGATTTCAGAAATGAGAGATCATAAAGAGAACAGTGTTTAGTAAAGACAAGGTCATAGGAGTGACTGAGGCAGTGAAACAGTCTGTCCAAAATGAGAAATCAAAGAAGGTGGTTAGAAAAAGGAAGTGGCAGATAGCGGAGTCATACTGGTTGTCAATATAAAAACTGAAGCTTCCCTTGATAGAGACAGGAAGGATATAAGTGTTTAGTAAAGTCACAGATAAAGCAGGGATAGAGGCAACAGCAGTGGTCCTTTGGTGGGGGCATGGGATGAAATAATTTTAATAAGTGGTCATCAAAATTTTGGAGAACTTGGAATAAGCAAACAGTAGGAAACACAAACCCAGTTCCATCTCTATGCTTGGAGAAGAATGAAACACGAAGCAGTCATCAAGAGCTGCAAGGAATACTAGATGAAGAGGCAATGGCTCACTGTGATACTTCTGAAGATTGTACTGGACTTCAAGAAAAAGCAGGAGATAAGTGTGCTGGACTATCAGCAGGAATATTTCCCTCTCTGGTGAATATAAAAGAGAGGACTAGAAGGACAGGGTTTAGGAAAGAACTCTGAAGACCCCCCTACAAAACTTTATATGGTTTTAAAAAAATGTGGACAGCCTAAATGTCTTTGTTTTTCCTCAGTTCTTTCATTTTCACTAGATTTCACCTTCACTAGTTGAAGCTGGTAACTGGGCGTGGCCAGTCACAAAGGCCATTGTCTCCAAGGTCTGTTGTGGTTTACAGACCAGCCACAGGGTTTTGGAGTTTGGGAATATGCAACTTTCCCCAGTGATTACTAATCCTAAACTTGTTCAAGCCCCTTTAGCCCCTTTATCAGTATTAGATATGGGGGTTAAAGGGGCTTGAACAAGCTTAGGACATAGGTTATTTTAAAAGATGAGACAAGTAACGAAAAAGTTACCCTAACCCTGATTATTATATCACCATTCCAATAGGAAAGCTATTAGTGGTACCAGCTAAAACAGAGACTGGGTCGACTGCTGCAATAAAACCTCTTGTAATTTTTAAGACCCATTCTGGGAATACTGAGAACCATTAATACAAGGAATACTACTGTCTTCCCAATTTTGAGCCACTATCAAAACTTCTATACCTTGATGTACAAACTGATTTTATTTCATCAGTGAAACACCAGCCTTCTCCATTACTCTGAACATTATGTTTGGTCTTTTTGTACACCTGCCATATTATTATAATTTGTACCCCAATATTAATGCTAGACTGGTTGCCTGATCTTTAAATATAGCAAAGCAAAATAAAAAGCAGCAACATGTGCACAAAAATGAGAAATAATTGGCAGGTTGTACAAAGAAATCATTTGCATATGCTGTGCAAGAGTTCCTATTTATTTATGTTGGGTACACAGAGTCCATTGAAATTAATGGACTCCAATGAAAGCATAAGGTCTATTCACAAAGAATAACTTTCAGGTTTGGGTGACTTTTTCTGGTGCATATACTTTCATGATTTTCAGAGATGACCTCAGTTTATTATGAATAATTAAGTTATTTTAAAGCTTACTATACAAAGGCAGTGTTTTTTAGTATTTGTGAACATACCTTCTGTGCTTGTTGATATACTTTCTCTTGTGCCATTCAGTAGAAGTCACCTATAAAGAATCACTGGCAAAAAAGATTATCCACAAAATAGGAACTACCTAGTGTAATAAACATATCTGTAATAAGAAAGATTTGAGAAAGTATTGTGCAAGATATACAGTTTTTGCAACATACTTATTTTTATATGCTTTAGTTATATTACAATATTCCATAGCAAGGCACATTCAAGACCAGTGGCAGAGGCTTTTCAGTCAGGGTGCTTCAAGCACAATAAAAACAGTGTATCACATATGAAATCAATAATATTACAGTACTAATGAAATATATGCCAGGGAATAATTGCACATTTTGGTTGTAAATGTAATGCATTCCTTTTAAAAAATGTGCATTTAATGTAACAGGTTAAAATGGATATTCTGGTAAATGTCACCACTGTCAACAGTACACAAAACTCCATTCCAGTGTCTGTAATAGAAGATATTTTAAAATGGTAAATAATGTGGTTGAATTTGTCTTTACTAAATTTACCAGTCTAGTATCCTGCTAAGTATTTTATTAAGTGATATGTTCTGTAGTTTTTACTCACATGAGTAACACCATTGACTCTCAGAGGTAACACTTACATTACGAACTACATAGCATACATAAAAGTTCCAGAACCCAACCTTTAAACAGAAGTAAACTTTAATTACCTGCTGTAAACTTTAGCATGTGAAACTAGGTTGCCCATCATTTCTATCTTCTTTCTGTCTCCAAACACCTAAGATACTTAATACAATCAACCATACACAATTCATTTTACTGCTTTTGAAACTAAAGTAATTACATATTTTGCACAGAATAAGATTAATTTATCCATACCAACATGAAAAAATATGTTCCATGTTTTAGGGGGCCATTTGCAAACTCAGAATTATTGCCATCACTCTCTTATAATTACCTTTTCAGAAGTAATTTTTCCCTAAAAGGTTGGTTTTATCCCAGAAAAATAAATGTACCTGACCTAATTTGAGGTTAAAATGGACAGCGCATCTGATACAAATAACCTCACTCTATATTGTTCCAAACCTTTGTAACCATTCTCTCTAAAAATAAATGATTAAAAGAATGGCTAGAATATTTTTACACATGAACAATTAGTGCTGCCATTCAAGCAAATATTACCTTGTTGCTTACTCTAGTACAAACGATTTCACTCATTTTTCATTTCACCCTACTGTTATGGTATCAGAGTGTTTCAGAAAGTAATGGCAATTTCAAAATAAAACTCTTTTGTGTGCAATGATTGTTCACTTCTCTACCTAGTTGTAAACAATGGGTGTGTTCAACAATGCCACCACCAGTGCTTCCTGCTGCTATGTAGTTTCCTTGCTCACTGCACACAAAATTATTTTATTTCAAAATGCTGAAACTTTCTGAAACACACTTAATACATAACATTAATCTTTTAAAACCAATCATATGCTATTCAATAGAAATGCAAAGTAAAGGATGCCATGGAGATGGACAAAGCATGAACCCAATGCTGCCCACATTTAAAAACAAGCAGTTTAACATGTATGAGTTGCCCATAGAAGCCCTAAAAGATTAGTACACATGCCACTTGTAAGGAACTGAGAAGTCATACTCCAATAAAACATCTTTGACACTAAATGATGTGCTAGATCTTCAGCTGATCCAAGTTACGTAGCTAAACTCTAAAGCAAGACTTTGGCCCCTATGTTGAAAAATATTTCTGAATTTTTACAAATGGAGTTCATTTTCATGGTATCTCTCTTTAATAAGCCAAATAATTTTATTTCAAAGAATACATAAACGGTAAGAATCCATCTGTGGGCTTTTGAACACTTTTCAGTACATGTGAAAGGTTTTGTTTAGCTTTCTTTTTAAAGACACAGAACTATGGAGGCACTGTGTTCATTATGCCACATACTGACCATGAAAACTTTATTACAGGAAATATGGAGAAACAAAGATGCAAATGTTGAATGCATAGTGAATTGAATGTATACAGACCAATATTTACACATGAGTACTACAAGTTTACTTTTCCCTAATATTGTTATATAATAAAAATTTAACTGACTTCAAAACTCAAAAACATAACTGATATCAATAGAATTTTCTGTGTCAATCTTACAACAATGATTCATTTTGATAGCTTGGTATGTTTGCCAAAAATATGATCTCAAATTCAGAGGAATCAGATCTCAACTTCCCTGAACATTTTTTATATAAAAGTACTGTGTTTATTTCCTTTAACTTGCCAATAAAATAAGTCATTCATGTACAGACAGTGAGTGATACTAGAGTTTAACCAACATACTGTGCACATGCTTTTAAATTGAAAATACTGGTAAGATATTTTCAAATATAATCTGCAAAAAAATAGATTGTACAGATGAAGCAGCACCAGGTAAATACAGTATATAAAAATCATGTATTTAATGAAGCATACATTTGTATTACAAGATACAATTATAGTTTTGCCAACAGGTTTCTGAATTAAAAATGTATTTTAAAGGAAATTTAAAATATATTACTGTCAGGTGATCCAAAGGATTTATAAAAAAACAAAATCTACAACAGAAACAAACATAAATACCTGGGGAGTTGTAACTTAAAGCCCTTATCTTTCAATCTGATCTGCTAAGACAGACACATGCTTGCACAGGGAAAAAAAAACAATAGAAGTTTGCATAAGTCTTAGGCTCTGACTATGCAGGCCTAATCAGGTTTGCAGACTACTGCATAGGTGCATCTACTCACAGAGATCAGATTTCAGGATGCTGGACTTCAAATCAGCCACACCAATGTTCAAAGCAAACACTCCGGGTTGATTTATGCTACTGTAACTTAAGGGGGAAAGGACAAAATACAAAGATTTCTCAGTGTCTGACTGACAACTTCCCTCAAACTTTTTCCTTAAATTAAAAGTTGCATTTAAACCACACAGATAATGAGGATTTTTGTCTACACTGACCTTGAAAAACAGAACTGCAAATTGCTACCCACATTATAAAATACAATAAAAACTTCAAAGTGTTTCTGTGGAAATAAAAATATTAAAATAAATTTACTGAATTATGCTTATTTTTCACCTCTGTAAGTTATTGAAAAGGTGAGAAAGTGTCAGATATTTTGCTTTGATGTTACATGCCTAATATCAGTATTGTGCAAAACTGCAACTTAAGGATTATTTAGACTTTTGAATCCCAATAAAATACAATTTTAAAGAGAAAAATACACTAAAATCATTTCACCTTTAAAAATGTTAGGAACTACTATTTTGTATGTTAAGCTTTGTTTTAAATTCATTCCATTTCTTACATTGAAATCTACGTTTCAAAATTGCAAATTGATTTAAAAAAAACAACATAAAGTTTGGGTCTAAATTGATTTACAAATCGTAGCATGTCAGTCAGCTCTGAATAATCACATTTATGTAACAGGCAAAAAATATGCTTAAAATCCTTGAACATTTTGCACTCATTTCTTCATAATCTGTTCTCTGTTTAGCTACTCGCAGTGTGTGCATGCATACGTTTTGCTACATCATAGACGTAGGTTATGTCTGGTCGCTTCTCAGGATCTGGGTTGATGCACATATTAACTAATTGTCGCAGCTGGAAAAGGAAAATAATGGGTAAGAAGTCAACAAGTATTAGCAGTTGAAAAAAGTGCTCTCTCACCTTCTTAAATAAATAAGACTGAAACTGTGAAAGTGTAGAAGAACTGCATTCAGTTTTATAGTATATGGGACCTCTCTCTTTACTTTTACAATGTTTTAGAACCATGTTCTAGAGCAACCCTTTGGGCAAGTGTGCCACAATTTAGTGCTGCACCCTTCCCAAGTGCCACTCCAATCCTCTTCCCCTGCTTGCTCTGCTTTCTGCTTCAAGTCTTGTGTTCCCTCCCTGCTCTGTTGCTCTGCTTTCTGCTGCATGCCCAATTTGCTGTGTTGTTTCCTACTCCCTGTCCTGTCTGCCACTGTGCTGCCTGTCTTCTCCTTAACCTGATGCATGCCGCTCACAGAGGCTGCTGTGACACCTGTGCCGCAGGTTGGCAACCCTTGTTTTAGAGTACTGTCAAGAAAAAGTAGATAATATTTTGGTCTCAACTCTGCATGCTTGTGAATAAGTTTAGGTGCATATATCTAAATTGAATCATGGTAATGATTCCACATGTGTAAAAAGTGTGATGTGATAGCAACCCTTCAGTGGGGGTTTTGGATTCAGCATAATATTCTTTTAAGTGCACAACTTCTTGACAGAAACATACTCAAGAATGGTTCTATCTACTACTAAAGGAGTGGCCAACATGCAGCACATATGCCATAAATGGCACAGATGTGGCATACAGTAGATTGGGGAGGGAGCAGGGAATACAAATAGGAAAGAAAGCAGAGCAGCAGATTTGGCAAGGGGTATAGGGTAGGAAGCAAAAGGAGTGCAGCACATCAGGTAGGTGAAGAAGATCAATGTGGCACTGAGAAAGCGTGCAACTAATTTGTGTCAGGCCTGCCATAAAGATTGCCCTCCCCCCTACCACACTAGTGCATGTTTTTATCATTAGACTACACATCATGTTCGTATAATTCTGTCAATTCACTGTTCTTTCAGAGTTCACAAATTTAGAAGGCATTCAGGAGAAAAGTTACCAGACTTTTTAACTACTTCCTGTTACCTTTTGGGGAATAAGAAAAACTTAGCAATTTTGTCTTCTGCTCAACAGCAAATATAGCAAAACGTTGGTACCATGGTTCTTCAAAGGTACAACAGGCTGCATATTCAAATCTGCCTTCAAGTAGCAGTGGCCCAAAAACTGCATAAATCACAGTAATACAAGCTATATTTCTGTATGGTTAAGACTACAAATTCAAATACTTGCATATCAGAAAACTTAAAAGTTGCCTGAACAATACTGCTTGTATTCTTCTGTAAAACATTTTTTCCCAGTTATGTGCTTTGCACATTCAGAGTCAGCCTTTATATTGCATGTAATTTTTTGCAATGAATCTACACAATCTACAGAAGGCTAATTTCATTTCTTCAACAGGGGGTTTCAATATTTTATTAAATGCTGATGTTTTTGAGTAATACAGTTACTTCACTGTTGAAAAGGTAGCAATTTCATTTAAGGATAAAAGGATTTTCAATTTAAATAAATTGTAATAGATTTAATATTAGAATCCTTTAAATATGTTACACTAATCATAGGAATTTAAGATAAATTATATTGCTTTTAACAGCCAAAATATAAAATCCTGTTTCATTGACAAAAGTGAATAATAATGAGCTAAATCAGTGGTTTTCAACATTTTTTCATTTGTGGACCCCTAAAAAATTTCAAATGGAGGTGTGGACCCCTCTGAATTGCAAGTGTACGTATTCACATACTTTTGATTGATCATAGTTATCTTTCATGGACCCCTTAGACGTAGTCTGCTGATCTCCACGGGTCTGCGGACCACAAGTTGAGAACCACTGGGCTAGATCATTTGGAAGGGAGAGTGATGATGTTAAAAATATTTCTAATAAATAAAAAACTCTTGTTTTTCAATACAAATTATGTGATGAAATAGATTTTCAATCCTACATAAAATAAGTAGGAGGCTGAAAGAGAGGACAGATATATCAATAAACTCAAAAGCAGCTGCACAGCAACTGGGATGTCTTATATATGACACTGAAAATAGTAGGAAAGTCCAGAGTCCCAATTCTGAAGAATCTTGAGAACTGACCCCTTTTGAAAAGGACAGAAATATAAAATTGAATCTCTCCCAAATATGGCTGTGGTCCCATAGAGACTCATATACATGTACTTACTCTGTGCCTGTGAGAAGTCAACTGGACTGCTCAGTGCATAAAAGTCATGATAAAATCCTTGCAGAACTAAAACGTATAGCCATAGGTAGAGGAATGAAAAATATTGCACAACACACCCGAAGTGAGTCTTCAAAAAGATTTAAAATATGAAAACAATATGGTGCTTTGCTCAGACAGGTCATTCTGTGCCATTTCTTATGATGCCTGCTACAAATGGAAGTGGCATTCACAGAAACTGACAAATGGATGATAAAAGCTGCTACTACAGACCCACAATCCTTGAAAGACTTGGTGATCTTCCCCTCAAGTTGAACATCTATTCCCCTGCAAGTCTATATTTCAGCCCCCAAATTTTGGTCTAGTGGTTGTATTTACCAAACTGTACTATGGAAATAACACTAAGAAGTGAATTCTCTGATTCTTTGAAGCTTTGTATCAGGGTGTTGACAGAAGTTAACAACTGAAAACATTTCAAACGACAAATGTAAATGTCCTTTAAAACATTCCAAAAGCAGATGAAGCACTCCAAAATAGTACCTCTTTAAATGATGTACCACTGTGAAGCATTTCTTGTTATATGACAGGGACATCATAGGACTTCCAAAATCCCATAGTGCTCTGCTCTCCCTCCCCCACCTCCACGGGCAGGTGTCACTCAGTCACAGGCTGAGTGACAGCAGACAAGCCAGCAGAACTTGACAGTATGACTCCCAACCCCAATCTGCTTTCTCTTCTCTCCTTCCTCTCAGAACAGAGATATAGAAGGGACTGGAGTTGAAAAACCCAGTCATGTTGTTGGGTCCCTTGGTGCTGAAGATCCTACGACCTACAACTGCATCAGCACTCAGGGACCCATTGATAATGTTTGATTTTTTTACCACAGTCCCCTCTAGCTCTCTGCTCTGATGAGAGGGAGGAAAGGAGAAAAAGTTGAATGGAGCTTAAAGAGTCATAAATCAGGGTGATGGACAGCCAGTGAACCTCCACTACTCTCCTGTACTCTCCCAGAGACATTCTCCACTCCCCCTAGTGCCCCTGGCTGGAAAGTGTTTTGAAATGTTCCAACAAGGGGCACCACATGGGCTGGCTGAAATATTCCCTTTTGAAGTATTTCCCAGGCCATTTCAGTTAAAAAATGTTTCAGTTGTTACTTCTGTCCACACCCTCAGTCTTCTGAGAGGCATGGAATCAGGAGTTATGTTGGACTCTTTTATACAGGATTCTGCTTCTTTATATACATTAAGGAGTATCTATTTCTCTAAGAGGCTTCTTTATCAAATGCCTCTGATGCATGCAACATTACAGATGAGCAGAATTTGAGAATACCTTTGGAACAGACAATGGGATACCAGTGTTAGTAGGCTATGGTGAAAGAAAACTGATGTTCCCTATCTAGCATAGTCTGGCTAAAAAACTATGCACTGAAAGACTAGAGTTGTGACTGAGCTGGAAGGGCCTGCCATTCCATCCCCAAATTATGCCATTCTTTGGCTCTCTCCTTAACCTCCTTCATGTTTTTAGTACAATGACTGTCTTCAGTCTGGAGCTTAGCCTGATACAAGAGCAGCAGGCCACATTTTCTTTAGCTGTAACAGGTTTGTCAGTCACCAAATAAATGTGTCCCCGAAGTCATAAAAAACTCCAAACCACTAAACCATGAATGGCAAGAACTCTTCACTGTTAGTCAGGTGAAAAACTAGAAATATTGTTAAAGATTCCAGTTTTAAAGTAAGAAAAACTGTAGTTGTTCAAAGCAAAAAGACTCTTGCTGCTTGCTTTCTTCATCTAGAAAGGGAAGTCAGCAGAGAATATACTACCAATCTAAATCTGCTGGCCATTTTTTGGCTTAAATATTTCTAGTGATTATACAAAATCTCTTTAAAACCTCTGTACTTTTGAGAAATTACAAAGCACCCAAATCATGATACATAAAAGGGATGTAATAAATGCAATGGCCAAGATCTTAGAATAGTTATCTTGGAGAGGGACAGAAATTACACGAACTGGTGTAAGTGGTAGACTCAAATGGTAAGAGACAAACAATCTGAATATTACCTATTTTTCTTATTTTAGTATAGTAGCCAGAGACCACTTTAATACTAACCACTCAAATACCACAATAATGGGCACATTTCTCTCTTTCATGTGACCATTTTCATGTAAAAGCATAAATGAAGAACATCAGAATTGCTATATTGGGTCAGTCCAAAATCTAGCCTAATATCCTGTATCTAAGGGTAGGGACAGAAATTACACACAAACTGGCATAAGTGATTGGGAACCAGTTGAAACCTGTAACACAACAGTTCAGTGTACATAAACCTCTTTCAAAATGTCTGAAACTGGTTTAAGATAAACCTGGATGGATATAGTATTAGACTTGAACTTCAGTCCCAGATCACCTCACAGTCCCCCAGCATCCCAGGATTCCTTGTACCTCTCCTGCAAGCCCCCCCTTGCAGGGTGGGTGGACTAGCCTTGGCCTACACTGTCTGCTCCAGCAGATCAGGGACGCATTTTCTATCACCCCCCAGCTTCTGTCTCAGGCCACTCCAGGCATGTAGCTGCATTTCTGGAATCAAAAGTGAACGTTTGCTCACTTGCTTATAGGTTTGTAACAGGGGGCTTCCTCAGGGCCAGTCTACCAATGGCCCACCCACCTGTTTCTGGGCAAACCACCTGCCTTCTCGTCTGCCATGCCTTGATGATATACAATTATGATATTAATTAGGCGGGAGGCTGCTTATTTTTTTGCCCTAAAGCCAGGGGGTGCTATCTGCAGCTCCATTCCTCCCCTACACTGCAGTTCAAGCCTCACAGATGGTATCCACTGTTCTTAACATCACCGGCCCCACACTGGGTCCCAGAATCCTCCATTCTAGACCCCCAACTAGATCCCTCCAATCAGGCAGCCTAATCTACCCTCATTCTGGGCTGCCTAGCTCCCTTAACTATTTCCCCTCTTGGGTGTGGCCCCCCTGGGACCTTTAGCCACAGGCCCTGGCCTCACTTCTAAGGCCAGTCGAAAACCCCAGACCCTCAGCTCAGTCGTCCCTCGTGGTGGGCCCTGGCCCTTTTGACCCTTCCGGTCCTGGCCCCAGCATTGACCAGTCGAGGGATTTCAAGTCAGGTCTCGGAGCCTCTAGCCCCCTCTCTAACTTGGGTCCACCTTCTTGACCCTTCTATGGGGTAACCCACCCGGTTAGGGGAGTTGGAGTTATTAAGGCACCCCAACCTGCCTTTCACCGGGGTGGTAACTGGCCTGGCATTTCCTGGAGGCTCGTGTGCCACTGGGAGTCCCACCAGGCCACCCACTCCCGGCAGGGTGTAGTTTTAGGTCATGCCCAGGACTAGGGGCCTCCCAACCATCCCCTACAGCTCCTGTCCTTACCTCCAGGTATCGTACACAGCCAGGTGATGTTTCTGCTTAGCCTGCCAGCAGCAAACTGCTGTGTTTATATAGGCAGCCAGAGACCTAAAATGGCTGCTGCCATCAAGTACCTGCTGGCTGCTTGGCTCAGACCTTAAAGTGGCAGGCACCAACAGCGCCCTGTTACAAGGTTGAATCTATGCAGTTTAGACTAATTTGTGAAGAGTGAATCAATAATGATCGATTGAGCTTCGGGCTTTTTGGCTGTCTGTACTCAGCCCTTGAGACTATTAACTGTGATGATCTACCTAGATATTCCTTAATGGAACATAATTTTTACCAAGCACCTGCTCCATGAAAATCTGGGGTTCTAAAACAAATGCTGGGGCAATATGTTATAACTTTACTAGAAATTTACTGGTCAGCACTTTATAGTTCTAGGAGTTTGAGACAGACAGAAGTGGACATCATGCTATAAGTTTTGGGGTAAATTTCCATCACATTTTTTCATGTCAAATACAATATACTATGATAGAAAGTTAGACCTGCAACAAGTTAATTCAGTTATCAGATAACATAACTTTACATGCCAGTTGTACCTCAGAACTAATTAAAATTAGCATTCAGGAAGTTTTTCTAAACAGATCTGCATTATGTAAATAAAGTCTGAAAGGATGCATGAATCAATGTATAGCGAGTTTTTTCTTTCATCAAATTAATTCTCAGAGAATATCAGCATTCAGGTAGGTTTCAGTGGGTACGTCTGCACATGATGCTGACTGAGCAGTAGCCGAACATTACCACGCAGTAGCGCATCACAGCACTAACAGTGCTAATATTTACTGTGTGTTAGTATTAGGCTACTGCGCACTAGCGTGACTTAAAAGACATTTTCCATCACTACTGCATGGTAACTCCTGTTACTGTGCATTTATTTAGTACTTGCTTACACAAGTATTAAATAAATGTGTGGTAATCACTATGCAGTAGCATCTTATGTAAACATACCAAGTGATACCTGAACTTTACTGCTGAGTTGGGTGTACTTCCAACATGGACAAAGTTTGAGATCTACATTTTCTAGTTTCCAAGAAATGTTTACAATACTATAGTGCTCTGACACATAATGTGTCTCTCCATTAGCACTTCCAAAACTGCACAATATTTTCATTCAACTTAAAAAAATATATTTTGGGGAACAGTTACTTATTAACACCTATTTTTCAAATTATTTTATAACAGATATGAATCTTTATGTTAGGACAGATCAAAGCACCACAACTGTATTCTCTATTAATACTTGATAGCTAACGTTTTTCTAATTAATTATTTCCATGTTATAACGGATATTGGAGTTCTAGCTCTCTTACTGCATCACAAAAGTAGTCCGAAATATA